CAAATAAAAATAACGTCAGAAAATATATTAAATTAGTCAAGATGAAAAAAAATTGTATAATTTATTACTAAATTGGGACAATTTGGAATCAAATGTTGTTAAGTAGTCCCCGCAGTTAATAGTAAGGTAGCTTTCCAAACTTCGGTGAAGTTACGAAATGTTTCAACTACGTATTGTTACGAGCAGGATATCATACTCAGATTTCGTTAAGACGTTTACTCACCTGGAAGTTGTGCATCTGGATGCTGAAACTTCGAGAGATGAACCATCGTTACACAGTAAACATACTTGGCAAATGAAATTATATCAAGGCAGCTGGAGGAGAGGCGTTTCTGCAGGAGGATGTCGAAATAATCAAGGTTTGATTAGTCCATCACTCATAAATCATTATATATTGATATTGATATATATATCTTAAACATTGTCATTGAGATTACAATTACATTAAAACGATTGTAAACAGTTGATTTAAAAATTAGTGCATTTTATATTACTTATTCAACCAAGTTATATAAATAATCTAACGAATGTTTTCTTTCTCGTATAGAAACCTTTCACATAAATCCCCAGTTACATCTGATTTTAAGTGAAATGGAAGAAGTCATCGTTTCATTAAATCAGCATTCAATTATGGAGCCAAAAGTAAGAAGTGTTTCCAAAATATTTCAATATTCGTGTCTTTTGTTAAATTGGCTTATCAAACTTTCGTTGTCTTCAGGTGATTGGATTCACAGCATATACACTGCCGAAGAATAGCACCGAATCGATAAATAAACAATTTTTCAAGAAGAACAAGTCTTTAGTTAATTCCCAGTATACGAATAGTCGGCAGGTGAGCCACAGGTGTCAGCTCGAGCAGGGCGGTTACCTGCTAGTACCTACGACCTTCGAGCCAACTCAAGAAACGAGTTTCACATTACGGGTCTACAGCAGTAAGCCTCTAAAACTCAAGTAGGTATATGCATTTGCTGATGTCACGCTTGCACGAGGCAGTACAAAGGATCGAATGGGCTGTCTCGGTGCATTTAATGTGCAGCATATATTAACTTACGTGAGGATATGTGTACGCCCGTCTTCAACTATAGTTTTAAAATCCTTTTTTAGCCATTTCAAAAGCCATGCATCAAGTAATTACTTTTCCTGAGCATACATTCTTTTGTTATGGAAACGCAACATTGAATATTTTTTTTCAATTAAATGATTTGCTGCCATTGATATTTGTCTTGTTTTCTTTTTGCGCGTGTATGTAATTTATTAGTGTAATATATTATTTTATTATTAAAATTGCTTTAAAATTTTAAATACGTAAAATGTTACATTTTTGATTTATTGCACATTAATATATTTTGTATCCTGGAATAAAAGAGTGAGCGGTAAAATTTTATTTTCTACACATTATACTATTAATGTTTCAGATTGTTAGACACTCCGCCGTCATTAATGAAATCGGCAATTGTTAAGGCGCCTCCTCTCGAAGGAAAAGGCTTTTCTCAATACGAGGCTGTATTTCTGCAGCTCGCCGACGAGCACAGAACCGTAAACGCTTTCGAACTGCAGGAGCTTTTAGAAGCCTGTTTACCGAATGGTACGACGCTTTTCTCTCCGTCATAAAATACATAGAACACTTTGTTAAAAATGCACTAAAAATGTTATGCAATGTTAATTTAGATAAATGTATTTTTTTTTTATTTCTAGATTATATTAAAAGTTGTGCCTGCATGGAAGTTTGTCGACAAGTAGTACTCACTATGGATGTATCCTTTTACAATAAAAACTGTTTTTTTTTAGAATATAATGGTTTTTTAGTATTTTTTCGATCGCTATAACTGTGCGGTCTAACCGCAGATGACAGCTTTTATTTGATAATTGTTTGCAAATTTAGGATTTTAGCCTCGTGTTTAATTTATTTAATTGACTATACATCAATTATTTCAGAATTATTTAGAATTTTAAATAAAATCGTCTGTATATTTTCTCTGATAATTTATGAGATATCATTTATATGATATAATTTATATGATGAACAATTAGTTTCCTTATATCTTGCATCTTTAAACAGAGTTCTGGGAGTGGTCGGTTGAAGTTTAATGATTTCAAAGATCTTATGTGCAGTTTAAAATACTGGCAAGCTGCTTTTAAGAATCACACAAAGGAAAAAACGGGTATACTCAAGGCGGAAAGATTGAGAGATGCTCTACTGGAAGTTGGTACGTAAAACGAAAATGTAGTACAGTGCTTGAAATAAATATTCTATTTCGTCGTCATGTAATGAAAGCTTCTATCTCAGGTTTTCAATTAAATACGGATGTATTATCCATTTTAATCCTTCGATACATGAGGAAAGACGGTACTCTTCGATTTGGTGACTTTGTTTCGGCAATCTTACACTTGAGTGATGCATTTGGTTATTATGAGACGTTCAATTAGCTTATATAATTTGATTTATTAAAGCTCTTAAATATTTTGTATTAATTGAATGTTTTACATTTATTTAGGAATATTCGAGAGCAAAGACCCTTTGCAAAATGGGACGATAAAGTTAAGCTTGTCGGAGGTAAAAATTCTGTTATTAGATTATTATCCTATTGTTAGATTAATCTATCTAAATATTATATATTTATTGTTATGATTATAAATTATAAGTTATTAAAAATTATATTAAATCGCGAATTCTTTTTACAGTGGCTGAGATCGTCTCTGATGTGTTAAAAATGTCAGTCAGCGTAAATCACCATGTACCTTGTGAATTGCCTGTAAATAACATTTTCTTCATGACATTAGATATAAGTTTTAGCCATATTAACGATTAGTGCCCATCTATTTACACTTTGTAAAATAATCATTGTCTTTTACATTATCACTGATCATCATTCCGTTATGTAATTATTACATATTATGATTAAAAAACTATGTATAATACGTTATTTGTATAAGAATATCACATTGGATAATAAAGTTAAATTTATTTTGCATAGTTCTTGCTTACCTTTTATTAGATTTTGATATACATATATCTAATCAGGTTTACTAAGCTAAACTAAGAGTTTTTTCAAATAAATATAAATAACGTAATTTTTTTTTTGTTTAACTATACGAAATATTAAAATTGAAAACCAAACTATTTTTATTCAAAATTGAAGAGCATTAAATTACCAATTCAAAAGCAAACGCTTTAAACTTAAGTATATAATGTTATTAAATAAATGCTATAATATGTGCACGTATATCGGAGAGGAAAGAATATAGCAAAGTTACAATAGAAACATTTATTTATAGAATTCGTTCGAGAGATACAACGAAACTTTTGATATCCTAGAATTTATCCCTACTCCCAACACGACGGAGTGAGGTATAATTCGCGCAAACTTATTAATTTCTTGTCCGAGTCGACTCAACACACTTCGTCTCACACCTCATCTCACTTTTTGATCGAGGATTTCATCCTGCGCGAATTATATAATAAGTGCACACGAGACACAGATAGGTGGACGGCGATATGTGAAAATTACCAGGAACAAAACTGACACAAAAGCCTGTCCGTAATCGATTGATTATTCCAGGCAATTTCAAATGTCCCGTCTTTAGACTTTAGATGATGCTTTGATCAAAGAGACTGCCGGGTGCGTTGTAACGATAGATTGCAATCCGGCATACGTCGAAAAACACGTACGTCTGTTATCAGCTATGTCCTGCAACATCGACATCTGTCACTGCGAGCAACATATTCGAATTGTACGTGACTCTCGAACTGATATTTTGATAAACTCCATAACTCCAAGCTTTATTGTGAGAAATTGATGCAAAACTAGAATGTTTTTTGCTATACAAAATATGAGTAATTTAAATATTTCACTTTGATATGTGTAAGTTTGAGTTTCGATACTGGAAAATCCAGAGATGGATAATTCCTTTATTAATATTTTTAAATATTTAGAATTACTGCAAATTAAGAGTTTTTAATAATTTCAGATAATTGTTAAAAGGATAATGTTAATGTTCTAATATTTTATGCTATATTCATTGATTATACATACATATTTTAAATCATTCTTGAAATATACAATAAAAAGTAAAAACTGTAAAAAATATTTTAATATTAAAAAATAATTTTCATATATTATTTTAAAATCTAATTAGGAAATCATATATGTATATATACCATGTGGCCCATAAATAACAATTCTGTAAATTATAACGAAATATTTTGAAACGATGACTATTAAAAATTCTTTCTATGTAAAAATATAAATTTGAAACATTATAATGTAAACAATAGAATAGAATTAGGACTCAAGTTCGAATAAATAAAAAAATGTCTATAAATGTAAGAAAGAGATTTCAGAATTTTGCGAATTACGATTATTCATGTTGCTCATAGGAACACGATATCGATTCTTCTTTCTATAGACATTCGTTTCATAGAACACGTGTTTTCGTCAGTGCAATGAGGGAAAGGAAGACGTTCAAAGGTATATAGCCGGGGTTCACAGTTTCACACACATATTACGATCGTTTCCAAGAGAGGAAGACATCGAAGTTTAGAAACAGTCTCGTGCATCAGCGAAATGACGCTTTTTATCTTCACGCGAATATTGGATGGCGCAACGCTTATCATTTAGATATTTACATGAATCGTGAAGATATTTGCAGTAAGATAATATAGATCTTAAAGTAACGACCAGCCTGTTACGATTCGCTAATTTTATCAAGTAGAAAAGTCTAGTTGTGTATTATGGATATTTAACAGCGACAAACAGATATAATTATAATTTATAAATCTATAATTTTTACAAACAAAATTGTTATTAAAGAAGTCTGGTTCAGACTCATATCAAAATCATATCATATCAAAAAATCATTTTCAAATAAATTTTTTACTATTACTAATGTTTGATTTTTCTAAGTACAAAAGATTGTTACAATTTAAGTTAAACAGTTTGATATTTTTATGGTTATTGATAACACATAATTTATAATTACTTTTTAATATAATGTGCGAATATATCTTCCTCTAAATAAAGCATAATCGATATCCGCTGCTCGTCGCCTTTGTGAAACAGGTATCGAGGTAGGTTTATTTTGAGCTTTTGCAAATGTCGACGTTCAATTGAGCTTTCACACGAGGTTCGAAGAACTTTCGCGAGCGTACAGATTGTAGTAAACGAGATAATCGAATTTTCGCCTTGAATCCATGCTCTCGACATGACTGGTTGTCTTCCGGTCATACTCATCTGCGTGGAACGGTCATACTGGCATAAGATTAATTTGCGTGTCGTCGGGCAATGCATATAGTCGATCGATCAGACTTCCGTGACCCTTTGCACGGAGTTAATATCCAGCGCACAGTTACCAATCGTGTCCGGTGAGTCTGGAAGATATTCCTCAAGTGGTGTAATCCCCGCTGTCCTCAGATCATCTCTCACACGCTCTACCTAATGCAATATTGTTAATATTGATGTTTTGTTATATTAATATAATATAATACCTTATTAATAATATTTATAATACCTTATAGAATATTAATATTTTAAAATTATTATACTATTTATGATTTTAAGAAAATGTTTTGATGATACTTTTTGTACATTTTTATGGATTATTATAAGCTTATGAACTGCTAGTAAATAATAATATCAATGTATAATAAAAATTTATCATCTCTTTTCACGCTTGTTAAATAAAAGCGATGATTTATGTGTACGACTAAGGAAAGCTATAGTTGCGTAGTCGTGTAATGTAGCGAGTCATTACGCATTGCTATAGTAGAAATATGACGATATTAAGCCCCACAGCGCCGTATAAGGTACATATACAACTACATCTTAAACCTTAATCGACTCGAACCTGTGTGAGGACTCGCAGTAAATTCAAGCCGGCGACTTTCTTTAGCTCGAGCACGTCCCACTTGCCACTCCGGAGAAGTTCGGCGAATAGTTCGGGATACTTCGAAACATCTTCCAGACCACGAGGAGTTCTATGGAAAGAAAAGAAGATTTTACACGTAATTAGAAACGCAATTTTTATGTTTGCTGTAAAAAATTACGCAATATATACATATATA